CTGTCTAAATGTAGAGTTACGTCCACTGGGCTCGTTTGTTGGGGTAAGATTAAAGGAGACCAACGAGGATTTTCTGACTTTAAGAAAAATGATTTTATTATATTATATTAAAGATATCAAACCTGAAAGGGGAATACCTGAAATGAGAATCCAAAATAGATTCATGTAAAACCCCATAAATTTAAAAAAAAAAAGCAAAAACAAAACAACCCTAACAAAACCAAACCATAGGACACAAACCAAACCAAGTGGTTCTGAGGAGCGAGAAGGAAAAACCTCCTGATGTGCCTGGCAGCTTTAATCAGGCCAAACATCAACACCTGGCTGTCTCCAGAACCCTGAAAGAAGAGACCTACTGGAGCCGCAACTTTAGTTTCTACCTTAAAATTACATTTGAAAAGTTCATACAGTCAAACAACCAAATATTCACTTTGGAAAATCAAACTCATGTCACCAAGGAGCAGAGTGACCTTTAACCCTTAGAACAGATGAAGTTCAGTTCCTCTGTGTCGTTTCTCTGGAACCATCTATGTTCTCCTCCAGCCTGCATGGCTCCAGAAATGTTACAGTCATTCATCCATCCTGCTGAGGTCGAGTTCTGATAGCTGATCATCTCCTTACAGACCCAGAACCAGAAATTAAGAGTGCAGTTGAACCGCAGACCCAACCAGACATGATCAGTCGATGCCTCCTTGACTTTCTCCTGGATCCATCTCTGATCATCCATGTTGGTGATGGTGACCAGGTCATCATGATGATCTCTGCAGTAGGTCAAGGCGTCTTTCCAGGTTTTATTTTCTTTGATCAAGATCACATTATCTGTCACAGAAGGCGGGCACAAAAAGCTTCATTCATACCTTTGTTCATGCTTTAGTTCCAGAAAACTGTTTGGCATTTCAAGTTTTTCCTTGTATGTAGATAATTAGAGAATGAAGACAGTGAAAATTTTGAAACGACAAACCTTTACAAGTTACGTATAAATTATGCAAATTTAAATGAACATTAAAGTCAGAGCATCTCACCATCATAACAGATGAAGGCTTTTCTTTCATCACAGTTCACATTCGTCCATCTTCCTTCACCATCAAACTTAGTCATGGCACATTGACCACTGTTGGGATTGTGATTGTTAAATATTGGATTCCAGTGTCTGAAAGAGAAACTGTTTCCATCTGACCACCTCCAGGTGTCTCTGAACAGACCAATGTATGTGTAATCGCTTGTAGAGTTCATCAATTTCTCCACTTCTTCATCTTGTAGCTGCTTCGTTCCACTGCTCAGGTCTGTGTGTTTCTCTCTGCAGTAACTCTGAGCTTCCTGCCAGGTCTTCTTCTCTTTAATCAAGTGATATTTATGTTTTGTATTAG